TATTATTTTGGTTAATGTTTGTCCTTTAACTCTTGGAATTGAAATTACTAATAATGTAATGATAGCTGTGATTCCTCGTAATCATATTATTCCAACTAAAAAATCAAAAAATTTCACTACAGTTGCTGATGATCAAACTATACTAGATTTCAAAGTATTTGAAGGTGAACGTTTTTCGACCAATGATAATAATTTTCTTGGCAGTTTTATGTTAGCAGGAATTCTACCAGCACCACGTCATGTACCTAAAATTGAAGTTACTTTTGAAATTGATGTTGAAGGAATCCTGAAAGTTTCTGCAGTTGATGTAGGTACAGGAAACTCAGAATCTATAACAATCACAGGTGATAAAAGACAACTACCAATAGAAGAAATAGAACGTATGATTAAAGAAGCTAAACAATTTGCTATAGAAGATAGGATTCAAAAAGAGAGAATTGATGCAAAAAATGAACTTGATAATTATATTTATTTCATCAAGGGTCTGTTAGGAAAGAAATTCAGTCATAACGATGAGAAAATCATCAAAGATGCAATCAAGAAAACTCGTGATTGGGTTGATTATTTTTCAAATTCAGCTACTAAAGAAGATTTCGATAAAAAATCAAATGAATTGAAGGCCGTTCTGCATTCAATTACTACGAAAATGTATTCACATGATGAATTATAAGTGAAAGCCATTTATTTAAAAAAAATTATGATAATTCCATCTGTATATATAATTTTTATGATATTAGTAATATTGTAATATTTCTTTTAATCACAAATTTAAAAGGTTTTTTAATCAATAATAAATCTTTATAGAACAGTAACTCCTATTTTATAAAAGGCAAGCTTCAAATATGCAAGAATTTTTTTTCTCGGGTTGAAAAATATTTAATATTAACTTATGTAACAATTAATTGCCTCTAATCAATAAGACCAAGCTCTGGGAGATGTTTCGAGAGCTTTATGTGGATTTTCATTATGTCGTATCTCAGTGAAAACAACTGAATTTTCCTCATAAAAGTTGCTTTTTGAGTTAATTGTGTGCTTAATTGCCTTTTAAAACTTTTTTAATCTTTTGAGAATCGGTGGTAACACTCATGTTAAATAACTTGGATTTTGCAACTTACTGTAGAATATGCTTATGATAATGTCATCTGAAATTATTTGGAATCGTACCCATTGATCATATAACTTTCCAAAAAATCATGTATTTTTCCACAAAAATATCTGCAAATTTGCGCAGCATCATGAAAGTATCCAATTTTATTGGTGGGTTGGATGCGTGTTATCCTTATTTAGAAATTGATTTGGCGATTGCGGATATTTTTGCGGAAAAATACATGATTAATTCCAAGTCATGTGCCCACTAATTTATCATTGATCGAAATTATTTGTAACAATTATTATTATTATTATGATATGATCTAAATTAAAAAAAAAACTTTTTTTTCAAAATATTAATTTTAATTTTAAAAATGGCAGCACACCAAGAAATTAGTCAAGAATTAAACAAGGCAAGGGAATATTATGAGGTGGCGGAAGCAGAGTTGAAGAAGTTTATGGAAGAGGAGAACTTGAAGTCATTTGAAGAAAGGTGGGGAATGGAAGATTTAAGGAAAAAAAGGAAAAGTTAGAGAAGGAGAAGGATGAGAGGTGGTACCAGGTTAAGAAATTACAAGATGCGTTGATGGATTTTGGTAAAGAAAAAGGTAATGAACAAATTGCATAAGAAAAAAAAAATTACTTTTTGTTCGTTTTATTTATTTGTTTTGTACACTGCTTACAACTTTGAGTAACTTGTGCTTTGTTTCTTTTTTTTTCTCTTTACTTATTGCAGCAGGTAAATTCAGACCATGCCATATTCACCAATAATACCAAATACTTACTTATTCTTGTGTTTTTCTTTCCTGTTTCTTATCGTCAAACCGCCAAAAAACACATTTGCTTCCCATATTTTTTTTATTCAATCAGGCAAAAGAAAAGCAGAAGATTCAAACAAGGAATTTACTGATAAAAAAGTGAAACAAATAGTTGGTAATATATCTTAAATTCTGTGGAAAATAGAATCATATACGTTAAATATCATTCCTTCTAGTTTTAAATATTACTGTTTGGAACCAACATTTCTTTGTATTTACATAAATCCAAAAGTGCCTACCACTCCTGAATCCATAGCAGAGTTTCTAGAAGGACAAGAAGGTGTCAAAGATGATTTCACAAAGCCACATCAACTATGTGAAAATGAATTTAACTTTCAAAGAAAAGGTAGAGATGAAACGCTACATGGAATATATGATTACATTGTTGAGCGTTATTTTAGAATTAAGAAAGCCTCGGATAAAGGGAAAAGTGTTGGTGGTAAAACTTATCACCATGCTCTCACAATTCAAGCCACACCAGGAGGAGGAAAATCTTTCTTGCTTGATGAATTGGCAGCCTTGAAAAATGAAGATTTTGATAATTATTTGAGAAGCAAGAATCATCAACACCCTTTTATTATAGAAGATGAAGAGGACTGTTGTTACAATGAGGCAGTTAATAATGTCATAAATATGCTTCATAATTCGGTTGCAGTTTGCATAACATACAATGGACATTCAGCGTACAATTTTGATGAATTTGTAGATGATAATATTGAAAGAGGACTAGTAATGCGTATCTTATGGAGTTATTTTTTTGATGATGGAAAACTAAGCTGGCAGAATTTTTGTGAGAAATTTAAAACAAATTTTGAATCATTGAACATTCGTACTGTTGTTCAAAGCATCTTATATCATTCAAAGAAACGAGTACTTCTATGCATTGATGAGATTATGAAAATTTTGTCAGGCACTGACACAAATCAAAAACAAGCTAAAGTTAATAAATTCTTAAATCATCTCTATAATCCCTACCAAGAGTTTGCAAAAGATAAAGAAGAGTTGATCAAATTTAATTTTATCCTGACTACACTTGATGCGGTTTATGTGCAAAGTAATATGACTGACTCAGGTAGACAAATCGAATGGATACCATTAAGAAGACTGGAGATTTCAGAATTGGCAGAATTATTTAATGAAGTTATAAGGAGTTTAAACTTAGAAGAACATAGGTTGTTTGTCATTAAAAAATGCATTTCTGATTGTAACGGACATCCGAGGACCCTAGAAAAATTCTATCAAGTTTTTTGTAGCAACAAAGAAGCTCAGATAATTCACAATTACAGTTCTCTTATTGCAATCTTGACAAACCATATTAGAGATTGGTATAAGAATATATCCTTTCCTGTAGTTAAAATGGCTTTACTAGGAGAATCAGTAAGATTGAGCCATGTTATAAATACTAATGGTGAACAATTAAGCATTTCAGCCCTTGTTTCTTCTGGAGATTACATTAATTCACTTACTGAAAAAAGTGAAGCTCAGTTTGTTATTCCCACCTTATCACCAGTTAGCCTACAATATTTTTGTTTAAACAATGAAGATGATGGTGATGCAAAAATTGCCACTAAAATAATACAAAGGCTACTTACAACAGAATCTTCTTTTGATGACGAAGTGATGGATGGAAGGCCCTTTGAAAGATTCCATGCAAACTGGGAATTACTATACCGTGTGCTTCGTGAAAATGGAAAGAAGATAAGTCTTCATGAGATTTATGGTTTATCTGACAGAGACAAAGAAGAAATTGAGATACAGTTACAAAGGAAGAGAATTGCATACTGTCATGAAGAAATAGAATTTCCTCCAAATGATACAATATACAATTCATCCTGAAAAGTTTTTGAGAATCTTAATGATTATTTATTTGTTCCCAAAAAATCAAATAATAGTGGGTTTGACATGGTTATATTTGAAAGAAAAGCAGACGAATCTGGCTATATTGCAATCAATATTGAATGCAGATTTACTTATCGAGACCATCAGACAACATTAGAAAGTAAGGAGATATTGAATAAATATAAAAATATGAAAAAGAAATACCTTATGCATGTAAGATATTTATGCAATAGACTTAGAAGTGAAACTAATGCATGGGAAAATGGATCATTTTACGATAAATCTTCTGTGGGAAAACTCAAAATGACTGAAAATGATATTTGTCTGGTTTTTGTAGTTTGGAGAGACTTAGACTTAGGAATGCTCAGTCATGAAGTATTAAATAATAAAAATATAATTATTGTTGATAGAGAACATTTGAAAAAAATTTACACTCCATCACTTGTATCACGACCACAATTTTATAGTCAAATATTTGAACAAATCAATAGTATCAGATATGAAGACTGAAACCTTCCGATAGTGTATTTTAAAATGTATAACCACATATGTAGCATATCTGAATAAAAATAATTGCTAGTTAATAGCATAATTATTGCATGTATTTTATTTTTTCAATGAACACATCTAAGGATACTGGCTGCAACTTTTGATGATGGTTGCTACCACCTTTACGACCATTTTGTTTCCTTTTTTGGATTGCGACATGGAACACTAAACACATCCACATGTAACATAACAAATAATATAATGTTTTATAGTGAATCAAAAAGCAAGGCCATTTTAATGCGAATCCCAGATCAAGTTATTTCTTTGCTCTCGAATAATTTCTAAAGTTAATTAATTGTTTGTTTCTATCACTATTGCAGGATATATGATAATAAAAGTATTATGCTTCCTCTTACACCCTCAAACACTGGAATATCTATAAAAATTTTGCTTATCTATATTATACACCATTAATACCGATAATACAAAGTATTAAGTTCTGCAATAGAATTTTTCCATGATGATAGAATTTCGAACCTATAACAAATTCTGAAGTTTAGCAATGAATTAAAAAATAAACAATGCAATAATTTCGATATTTCATGATTATGATTCACTCAGCCAAAAAAGTTATAAACTCTTAGTGCTAGGTAGTTGAACAAATTAGGCTATATTTGCATTTAGTAAGCAATCTAATTTTTTATCAATATGTGGTTTTCTCATAGATCATACTAATTAATGGTTTCCTCACTTAATAGTGTGGACTTTGAGAAAATGTCTTTCACAAATGAAAATCTTTTTTGGTGTCCTTTTGGCAAAGCCCTTAAAACAGAACTTCAAAACTTATTTACTAGCCCTGATGAAATTGATCTCATTCCCCCTATTCAAGATCAAGAAGAATTCAATTATGCTTTTGAAAAATGTGGTCAGTTGTGGCAGTATCTTGTGAAAAGGCAAAAAGAAATGAAACAGCCAATTTATGAGAGGCCTGTCATTATCTTCATTGATGAGTTTGACAGAATGCTTCCTTCTACACACAGACATTTGCAATTCATGCCTTGCAAACTTTCATGCCATTAAGATTAGTGCCATTTATGTCTTCAAGTCCATTGTTGAAATTGGTACCTTTAGTATTCTAGATCTGAATCCAACTGATTGGACTTTATCACCCTTCAACATTAGTGATTCATTCAGCAATCCAAACTTCAAACAACAAACCTTTACAATGAGTTTATGAAAGATTATGAGCTAGAAATCAAAGAACAGGTTATTGAGGATATCCATAAACAAACAAATGGGTATGTGATAGGTCAGAACTTAGTTTGTTTATTCCAAGTTTTTCATTTTTTTTTAATAATCTTTTTTAAAACAGACATTCTGGTCTCATAAACCTCTGTGGGTGAGCAATCCAAAAACTTATGGAAAAGTGCTTCCAGGATGGAATAGATTTGGCAAATCAATTGGGATTATATAACTTAGAATCTCTTCAATGTTGAAACTTTGGGTGTAGAAATTTCTAAATACTGTACATTTGACAGGATAATAAATATCCTCAAGATGCCTGGTGCTGAGAAGGCTATGAAGTTACTTTGTATTTACTTCTTGGGATCACTCAATGCTGAAGTCATTAGAGACAATGAAAACTGCAAATTAGCTGAATTCCTAGTGGCAGAAGGTGTCTTAATGTGTGTTGGAGATATTGAGGCATCACAAAAATTTCAAATGTCCTCTTCTTTTGTGGATTCATTGATCTGACAACATGTTATTCCTGAATTGTACTCATCCATTCCAAAGAAATGTATGCCCACATGAAGAAATAGTACCATGGACACTCTAGATGTCTTATTAAATGTTATTCCTTTTTTTGAAAAAGACATTATTGGTTATGCTTCTGCTCATTCATTCAAAAAAGCACCTGTGCCTGTAGGAGGTTATAATGGTGTAAATGTTCCTAGAGAAAGTGTGTATCAAACAGAGTTGGATAGAATCTTGGTAAAGTGGCTTGGTACACAAAGAAACTTTGAGGTCACAGGGCAATGGCATTTAACACAGCCTCAAAAGAAAAAGAATAAAGGTGGTAAACATCAATATTGTGACATAGTGATAATGGGACCTGATAGTTCTTCTCAGCCAATAGTTATTCTTGAGCTTTTAGCAACTGGAACACAAAATAATCTTGATGAGCATTATGAATGAGCACTTAAATATACAAAAGAACTTGGCAGACATGTTGAAAAAACATCTAATTATATAGAAAACTGCCCTACAATTGAAACCTGGGTGATTAATTCCACATGTGCTGATAATGCTACTTTGTCTCCTTACTGGCTATCACTCTCACAACTGAAGCAAGGCCTTCATGTTGCACATTTCTGGCATAATCTTAAATTTACAGATGTGTGGATCAGTGTGTAAATTTCAGTGTGTAACTAATGCAGATTTCTACAAATTTAGAAACTATCTGCAGAAAACTGCTAATGTACGATGTTACACCCGCACATTCCGCACATTGAATTTTATACACTGATGATGGTGCGATCTCAAATATTTGCAGTATAATGAATTAAAAAATAAAAGAAAGTCTAATTAGTTAATCTGAATATTTTATTTATTTTTCGCTAACTCAATAAATCAGCTGCAATGGAAGATCACGTTGATACTGTTAACAATGCTACGATTATGATATTTCTTTTGGAGATATAATACCATGATGCTGCGTATATGTTGAAAATTTATCACAAAAATGAGACATAATACGTGCATTGTGCTCATAAAAGTGTGTGAAAGAATACGAAAACTTTAGCCTGTTAGAACAAGTAGCAGGAAACATTAGATAAAACATTATTCGCATATAGAAAAAGAAACATCACTTTTGGACCTATCTCCGCATTTACCATTTGGATAGATAAATAAATGGGGGCTTCTCTAACAAAAACTGTCACCGAAATTGGTTTTGAAAAAATCAAATTACCGAAATTAACAATCAATGGACATAAAAAAACCACCCAAGATTTCGGCTATTGAGTTAAAAAGCTCAAATAACTTCGGGCAACTAATAATAATAATAATCATTTCAGCTGTTATTAATAATATTATCCTATCAATTTCGGCTAAAAAACTTAATATATTTGATTCCAAGCCCCGAATCTCGTAAATTGGGTCTAAAATTATAATATTCATATTAATATATTATTATTATTATTATTATTATTCAATTTTGGAGCTTCAAAATTGGTTTTTACTAGATAAACCAAATATAATTCATATTCACATGTTTGAATTCATTTTTCAGGAAAGAAAAAGAATATTCACTAAAGGCTATATGTTATGTTGATTGGTTTCTGCCAAACAATCATTGTTATTAATGTTTTAAAAACAATAGATTGAAAAAATTAGAACGGCACCCAAATCCATATATTGGTCGAGAGCTCATAACCTTTTTTCTTGAAATGTGATATACCCTTTTTGTGTTAAGATCTTTCAAGAAGCAGTTTTTGCGCCCGTACACTTCAATTGTGGTGATATTAATACTGACAGTGTGATTGGTAGAAAGTGATGCCATTTACGTGTTTACGTTTACGTATTTATGTATTTATATACTATATTTATAAACAATTAAAAAACAAACTACAATATAGGCTACAGACAGAATTAAAGCCAAATTATGCAATATACAAATTAATACAAATTATAAATTTCGTTCATTGTGAAGCGCGTGAATGCATTCATGAAATAAATCTTTATTGATGGTTGTTAATTCGATTTCGCCGCAAGAATAAGGCAAATGGACGTTCCAAACCAAATTACAATTAGAACCATAACATTGCCATGATCATTATAAAGATGATTTTTCAGACTTTTTTAAAGAATTCGGTTTAATAATTCAATAACGCTATGGTTATTACTGGGATTATTATGATCATATATGTATAATAAATCCGACTTTTAAACTGACAATGGATTTTTTGATGCTGATTTATTTCTAGATAATATTTTATTAAATTTGATGAAGAATTAAAGATGATTCTCTTAATTTCAATCTTTTTTTTCCTAAGAGACTAGAGTGATGAGTGACCATATATATATGTATATAATTTTACTCGCTCCAAAACATAATTTTTCTAATTGATTAAATTTCATCAAATTAAAAAAATTATAACAATCAGACTGGCAAAACCAATGTTATGTTTAATGTTTCAAAAATTTACTTGGATGTTAACAGTTACAAAATTAACAAATCAGAAACACATCAGAATTTAAGTTGTCAATCCTGAAACTACCCAATCAAATGGAAGAAATGAAATAAGAACGATCATGTTTATTTGTTCATCCCTGTATATTAATATAGTAAAAAACCTGATCTGTGATTTAAAATTCCGTATTCATGGGTAAATGCATCATATTAATATTAATATTCTTTGCCACTGTAGCAAATCAGTAAATTAATTAATAATAATAATAATTGGCTTCATTTTATATAACAAATAAAAAAATATTACGTTATTTGAATTTAATTTCAGAAAAACTAGTGCGACTGTATCCGTGTCAATTTATTTCAACGTGTGAGAAATTGTTACAAAGTCATTTGATGATACAACAACAACAACAACAACAACAATAATAATAATAATAAATAATAAAACAATTTGATCTCATTTTAATTTGTTCCCTGCACATCATATTAATATTAATATTTTTTTAAAAACAGGATTTAATTTTAATAATTGTCATCATTATAGATAAAGAAGTCTATTAATTGTCAAAAAATTTTGAATTTATTATTTGTCGCTATCACATTAAAATCATTAAATAAATTTTTTACGTAGATATCTATATATAAATTAATTGTATTGACGTTTGACAAATGGATTTTTTAAATTTTCTGGTAAAAAATAAAAATAAACAAAATAAAAATAAAAATAAAAGAGGTAACTAACCATTAGTATTAGACATTGACAATGAAAATCGATTTTCCGATATTATTGTTTTACAATATATAATTAATACACAACATCATCGTTCTCAAAAAATAAAAATTCGAAAAAAAACAAACCCCGTAAATAAAATCACTTGCTCTGGTTTTTAAATAGATTGATAATTTGTGATTATATTTAAGATAATTACATTTAAAGATATTATGAATGAATATGTATATTTGAATAACCAGTCAATTAAAAATTACCAAATTTAATTATGCAAATAAATGAATGAATGATTATGCTTTACTTTCTTTGCAGTGTTTACAAATAAAAACAAAGTGGCCTAATTTCGAATTGCTTATTTATTTTGACGAATAAAATTAAGAATTTTCCGATAGGGATGTGTAATGATGACATACATCACATTGTATCATAATTAAATCTTTATAATGTTCAAACAACCAAAATTAAAGGGAGTGTCAATTATTCTCTAGACTTAAAATCAAAAGTATATTCAATAACAAACACCTTGTTAATATTCAACCGCTCAATACCGATCGTTGAAATTCATGGAATTTATTTTTTTATTTGAGTCTTTTTAAAGGTATATTATTATTATAGATGTCTAAGTCAAAATGGTATTTAAATAGTGGTGATATTTAAGGAATATTGATACGTGATAGTTTCCAAATTTGGTTATTTAATTATATAACTCGATATGACGATGATGCTTTGATAAAACGAATATACGCGATAAACCAATATTTTTTTATTATTTACCTATTAAAATTTATCTATATAAGCCGATTTTATTAAGATTATTAAACTAGAGATTTTTTTTGTGGAAACATGGACTTTGGTTTAACAAGTTGTGACTGTATATATATATATATGCGTGTTATATTCCTACAAATGATAAATAAAATTCTAAAAAATTTTTTGTAAAAATTGCAATTTTATTTATTAAAATTTGTTAATTCAAACTAAATAAATTATCGAACAATGTCATCTTCTTTAAATAATACAAACACCACTACAGTTGTCATTGTAACTGCTGTGAATAACCCAACAACTGCAATGAATGATCCAACAAGGGTAGCTGCTAATAGTGCAGCCGTTGGTAATGGTGATCTAAATGTTGGCTTTTTTTTTAATGGAGTTCCGGGTTTATTTGAAGATAACAACGACAACAATAATAATCCGGACCAATTTGATTATACAGGCGGCAATGCGTTTTGAGAAGAAATAAATGGAAAATAAAATCTCGAAGGGTAATTTTATCTATGATTGATTAGTTTGAGCTTTGTTGCGTATTTGTTATATACCACGTTTATAGAATATATTAATTTTAAAGTTATCAACCCAACAACTTTTTTACCACCATTTTTAGCAAGCGGCAAATAATACGTGAATGATTAGAAATCAGTCAATAAGCATTTTATAAAGCAATATGAATATATTATTGAATATGTATTATAAACGTTATATTATTATGCGCATTAACTATTATAACTATCTATGTATTAACTCATATGTGTATTAACTATGTATTAACTATTATGCAAACATTAAAAATTATATTTTCTTTAAGCAAATGAAAACACTTTGATTCAACTTTTTAAACTATCTATAAATCGGAATTTCAAAACAAAATTCATGTCTCAAAATTATTTAAAATCATCTATATAAATCATAATAAATAATAATGTATTAATCTTGTGATATATATTAATTTTATTCATATATTAGTGATTCAAAAACATTTTATTCTTTTTACAAATTAAATTGGACAAACCCTCTTTATTTCACTCCATATGAAGGTTTGACTCACAATAGAGTAGTTTATTACATGACAAAACCAAAAATATTATAAAAACATATTATTATTTTGAAGTTTCATTATAGAGAGTGAATTGATATACATTTTTTATAACTAATTATATAAAAACAATGTTTTTGTCTAGTTCCTTTAGAATTTATGCTTAAAAAAGTTACTTCAAAATAGTGATGTTAGCCGGCTAAAAAAAAAAATTCTCTTGAAATTCATTTTTACATCTGGAATTTTAGTGCAGAATTCAGTGGCATAGGCATTTAGTTGAGATGTATTCACCTGCATTACTTAGTATGCTCAAAATCAAAATGCAATATTAATACATTATAGCAGGATAAAGTCATAGTCCAGAGTTTCTATTCTTAATACAAATTCTTATTTTAATACAAATTCTCTATTCAATCTATTCGAATTATTGATCTAATCGAATTATTTGATCTATTGGAATTATTCATTTTATTGGAATTATTTGATCTATTGGAATTATTTATTTTATTGGAATTATTCATTCTATTCATTTTACTCGTTTATTTGAAGAAACTTTCAATGTAATACGAATACGAATACTCAAATTAATAATGAACACAGATAATTCGAATAAATCTTATTCGGACCATTAAAGGCGAGATATTATAATAACAAAAGTAAATAATAGTAATAATAATAATAGTAATAATAACGATAATAGTATAATAATAATACCGAGAAGCTTAGTACCATCTGAAAAGTTTCCCATCGACTGAGATTTATTTAGGTTCTTAGGCGACCAAGGTTTTTCTACTGGCTAACATCACTACTTCAAACGATTTTAAAGCGATTTCAAAACCTATTTAAAACCTGACTTAAGGCCAGTTTAAAGCCAGTCTAACTTTTGGTAGAAAAGAAAGAAAATAAATGTGTATGTTATCAATTATCACCACTTTATTTACAAATCCTCATATATATATATATATATATATATACACATGAATAACTGATAATAAATTAAAGGAATGAATATTCGAAATTTTGAAAAAAATTTACATTCCTAATATTATGCTAAATCACCATATACATTTACGTTACGTATCAAAAAGGGACAAATCCGCCTACAATGTTTCACGATTATTATAATCTTTTCATGCGACATTTTACTTTTAATTAATACATGCCCTCTTATTGATTTTTCTACAAAGTCGACGACAGGTTGGTACTTATAAAATTCAATGGATTGATAAAGATACTTAGCAAGAAAAAGGAGTTCAATCAAACAAATCACCATATCAGCCAAAAAGTCTATATTATGAAACAAATTCTGAAGGATAATATTTTGCAATATTTAAGGATTACATAGTAAGAATTTTTTTTGACATATAATAATTTTGATCTAAATGAAATATAATTCTTAATTGTCCATTTGATGTTTCATGCCCTTTTGCATCATTAATATTTTTTTGGAACCATTCCAAGTCATCTTTGGTGGTACTATTGTCAAGTGATTGGTTTGAATTATTCTTGCTAATTTCATTTTCCTACAGGTACAGTATAACTGGACGAAACTTTTTTGGTTTGCTTCATAATATCTGTTTCCCACTGCTGATCGATAGGTACGTTTTGCTGGTGAAAATCGATTTAATTGTTCTCCAAATACTGCTACAAATTCGCTATCAGTACATGGAAATTTGTTTCTTGGCTTGGTATAATAAAGAGATGTTCGTTCATGTATTTCATTCACTAGTAATCTTTTAAACTGTTCAATATGTTGCATAGGCAGAGAAATTATATTGGCAGGAGGTTGATTGTAAGATTATGAGCTGGATTTTCATGACAAATAAGACCTCTAGATATTTTGTATCGTTTTTCGTTACAAATGGTACACAGATATTGACATTGAATTAAAGAAGGTGGTTATTTTGCCATTACAGATTGTTTTAAAAGCTTTGACTTAATAAAATTATTGTTATGTTTATTTTATAGTAACTGACTATGAGTGTTTATTTACTATTGTAACATTGTGAATACCTTATACTAGCAAAAGCCCATTGGTTTTGGGGTGTTCCATTAGTTTGACGGCTGCTGAATACCAAAATAGTTTAATTGCCAATCCGTGCACAAGCCAGTGAAAATTAAATTGACTTTCTTCCTTTGTCACTTTTGTCACTTTCGTCATATTTCATCACACATGCTCCATTTTATGAAATACTTTTTACACTCCAAAATACTTTTATCACCAAACTTGCTACAATATGAACGTATTTCGCGTTTTATTTATAAGGTCGTTCATAAAAAGATCTCCATTTCACTATTGTTTTTTAAACTTTAACGGAAAATATCATTATGTATTTCTAATCATTGCGGTGAATTGCATATCAAAGGGTTATTAACTCAAAATCACGATGTTTGTAGTTATCCTCATTTTTATTATCCACTATTACTATAGTTTTTAAAACCTTAATAACTTTAATGGAAAATATTGGGTAAAATGGCGAGCATGGTTTCTGAGCTTAAAATGTTCTTCAATAGAAACAAGGAATTTCAATTATGTGTAACACGAACTGGCTCCATACATAGGTAAACTCTACAATTCTGGCACGAGTGGCTGGCATGGTCGTCCGACTTATTGAGAGATCCGACTTATTCGAAATATGCAATTTTACAAAAAAAATATATATTTTTTTTTTTGAAAAATTGTGTTTAAATCGTCGTTTATTTATTATAAAGATTAGTAACAATTATAATAATAATTGAAAAAATAACTATTTGATAAAACAAAAGATAAAACAAAAAAATTCACTATTCTTTATTTAAATAAATATCCATACTAGTTTGTATTAAAGAATTATTTTGGTTTCTGTCGATTTTACATTTTAAATCTTTTAATCCTGAAACAAATAAACTATTTACTTGTATATCATTAGTTTGTTGCAAGTAATTATTATTCACAAAAGACAATGATATATAATTGATAATAAATATATTATATATATATACAACAATAAAAATATATTATTCATGAAACATATTTATTATTAAATTATTATTATTGGATTATTGGATCATTTGTACATTACTAAAAATAGTAAAGATGATCTCTTAAAGATTTACAAAATCACGTGAACAGACTTATCACTTATTCTTATCTGGCTGGAGGAGTTGTCCGACTTACAGCTTAACATTAACGAGAGTTTATATGCGTGTCCAACTTATCAAGAGATTTTTAAATAAAAAAAAAAGGGCTGGAAATTTTTGTCCGAGTTAAGCCAAATCCGACTTATTTTCAAAAAAAAAAAAAAAAAAGTATCTTTTGTAAATTATAACAAATATGATGAGAAATAAAGTGATAGAGTTTTTTATTTTTATTAGTAAAATCATCTAAAATGTTAAAATATAATTAAACTTTAAAATGTATAGGCTCATTAACAAAAAAAGCCAGGGAAAAAAATCTTCTGTAACTTTATTCTCCAAATTTAAAGTTGCACGATTTTGAATACTCAATAACCCGCACTTTATAACTGCGGTTTTTAAAAAACTCTCTGTTATCTCACTCTACTATCTTCAGCTTCAATTTCAGCTGCTATATACAACACATTTAAATTCGTGGAACATCGAAATCTGCAAACAGGATTTTTAAGCGGTGCAACGATTTTTCCTTTTTTTATAAATAAATAAGAAATGGTAAAATTGTATATACTAAATAGTGTTTTTAAACCATGGATTTGTTCAAAAAGTTTCTGATGATGGTACTTACGTTGCATATTTTTGTGGTAATTAAAAGCGCCCTTTTTGATGTAGATTATATAAATCTGCATATAAAAGGTGATGGTGAATAAACACCCAAGTAATTACTAAATTAATATTTGTCATCAATAAATTTTTTTTCATACATTGGTCTTTGTGATGACAAGTATAAATCGTATATTAAACGTACTTGAATTGGCTCGTCAACCATTTCCTTTGGTTTTTCCTATAGGTTTAAAAATAAAATATTCTTAAAATCTGATCAACTAGAACATCTTGAATAAGAACTTGTCAATCAACCAAAATGGTGAATTCAAAGTCTGTCAATTCGAAGTACAGATTGTAAAAAGTATATTGCATGTCTTAGGTTTTTAAAATATTATATTTTAGTAAATTCATTATTTAATTATGTACTTTTATTATTATTTGCTAGATAAAAATCAGGTTTATTCTAAAATTAGCTCCATAGCAGTGCAGTCAACTAATAGTATATCAATATAGAAGCTGAAGAATCTTTCTAATTAAGGCTTGTCAAACTGGGCGAAAAAGGATCATTTAAAATGCGGTCTATATTTGGGAAATAGTAAAGAAAGAGAAGGCGAGAAAAGGAGCGCATTATTTTGAAAAATCATCAGGTTTTATTGCTATTTTATCGTCTTTAAGTACTTGTGCATATAATGACTTCAAAAAAAAAATCCATCTGGACGTGCATTTTATTATTCATTATGTTATTTAAAGAAATAAAAAAAATTGCGGTTTTTCACATATAGTATTATTGTAATTTTCTAAAAAAAAAGAAGCGGCTAGAGAAAAGGCGGTTTATTGTTAAACCTAAAATGTTCTGATCCACACAGCGCATTATAAATAATAACAATATTTTGTATTATTTGGAGTCATGCCACTATTCTATTATACGTGATTTGTTAATAATAATATTTTATTCTGAATATGTGACAAATTATTATTATATCATAACAACCCCAGTTTAGTTTTCACAAGTGATTTGTCAAACCGTTGATTCCAAAAAAAGGACATGGCGGAAAATGACATGATAATTCAATCAACACACAGGCATACACATATACGCACTCATTCAAACATAAACATAATCCATGTGCAGAGTTAAATCACATATGGGCATACTATAAACTTCCACTTACAAGGAAAAATATTTAACTTGTTAGATTCGCTAATCTATTTATACACGCGCAAGAACACCCTTTGTGACTACAAAAAAAGAAAATAATAAAGGAAGGTAAGTACTTGATTGTTTCATAATAATTCAGTTTTGTCTTTAACCCATAAAATGACCAAGAAACTCAAGGAGCCCGTTTCTCTTTAACTATTGTATCTCTAAATCAAATTTCAAATAAAATTCTAGATCGATCGATTTATGTTCAAATACAACTGATGGTATCAATCACTTAATAAACTTAAAATCAAAAAATATATTTAATAACAAAATACCTTTTCTTTAATCTCATGTCTTGCAAAAAATCAAGTTTTAAAAAATGGTATTCAGCTACTCAATAATTCATTCGACACTCAATAACGAATTATGTTTTTATTTTCATTGATTCTTTTATTTTAAAATATTAACGGTCATTTTCGGAATATTATACTAACTCGCACAACTCTGTTTGTTTATTGCTTTATTATATTTGTGTAATGCCGACTGTTGCGTCACTGACAACCGACCAATTTAGATTGTATATTTTTTTATTTATTTCCGCACTCTTGATCTTATCAAGTCATGAATGATGATGTAAGTAATAAGAAATTACATATATATCATTATGATAATAGTTGTTGTTAATTTTTTTTTTAATTGCAATGAAAATGAAACTTTTTAGGAAAAAAAAAATTAATATTATTCGTAAAAAAGTAATAGTGTTCCCTATGAGGAATTCGGAACTTTGGGTTGTTGAGTCGGTATTCGGCATTAATTTTGTAACTGCATGATAATAAAAAGATTTATTTTTTCCATAAATTTTCCCGATAATTTATTCTCCAAAACTTTATTATAAATATACGAAAAAGTCTCTCTTCTTGAAATTAACTTTTTTAAAACTTTTAAATTTTAAATAATTTATTTAATAATGACCTCTTCTTCTTTAAACAATATTACTGCAATTGCTGGAACAATTACAGAAAACAACAATAACACCATTAATCAAACTGTCGTTACCACGACAACAACAAGTAATATTGGAATTACCAACAGAGCTGCTAATGCATCCATACTAGCTGCTAATAATAATACAGTCATAGTATCTGGTAATAATAACGCCATAGATAACACTAATCAAACTGTCTTTACCGCAACAACAACAACAAATAATGTTGGCACTATCAACATAGTCGCTGCTAATAATAATGCACCCATAGTAGCTGCTAATAATACAATTGGTCCTGCCGTTGATAATGTTAACTTATATTCCCAACCTTTTTTTAATGGTGCATCGGATTTATTTGGAAATCAAAATAATCAAGATAATCAAAATAACTTGGACGAATTTGATCTTATAAACGGTAGTAATTTTCCTTAAAAAAATAAAGAATATTAGTTTTATTCGTTTTATTTATTGTATTTGTTTATTCGTTTTATTTGTTTTTATTCGTTTTATTCGTTTTATTCGTTTTATTCGTTTTATTCGTTTTATTCGTTTCATTCTTTTTATTCGTTTTACTTGTTTTATTCGAATAGAAGCCTAATTGCTTTCTAAACATAGATTTAAACATTATTATGTATTAACTACTATATGTATATGTATAGCTATTATAAATAGTTATTATATTATGTTAACATATGACAATTTAAAAGATTAAGCAAATAAATTAATAACAAATATAATATGAAAAAATCTTTGGTCCATCTCTTTAAACATTTATCTATAACTCAAAGTTTCAAAATGACTCAAGATTATTTAAAATTTCCTCCTATATAATAATACATAATAATAATTAGTAAGCAAAAGAATTAAAAAACGTCTTCTTATGACTTGTATAATCTTATAACATGTATTAATCTTGTATACAGTGCGGATCATCTATACTCAAAAGTTTAAATTTTTGAAGTATTATGTGATCCACACATCGGATTTTAAAAAACTTACCACCATTCAATTCAGCTTTAAAAGGGGAGTCTATTAATATATATAAAAAATTTGTCTCGAATTTTCTTTCCATAGATTTTTTAAATTTGAAAGTTATGCTCAGAAGTGCAACAATAATTTTCGTGTTACAATATTTTGAATCTCACG